CCCCCGCTGGGTGCCGGAGATCGACCTCCAACTTTGCCAATTAAATCCTCACCCTCTCCCTGTCCTCTGTGCCTGTGGAGCGCTTACCTTCGGGACTGGGCTCCGCCATGGCTTCCAGCATCGCCCCCTACCCTCCACCCGGCCCGGCGACCCCCTCCTCGAAGCCGGGATTCCCGGTGCTGCCTTGGGTGCTCCGTGTTCCTACTGCCTCGCTCCACCGAAGTGTCCGCCTTGGCGCGGTTGAGACTCCAGTCCGCTACCGCCACCTCCCTCTGCCACTGCCTCCCGCACTCCCGGACCGGGCCCCCTCCCCCCGCACCGCCGGCCGCCTGCTCCCTCCTCCTCCTCTCTCCTCCCTCCCTTCTCCCCCTCCCCGCCGGCTCCGCCGCGCAGTGCACCAAGGGATTTGTAGTCTGTGCAGGGGCAGCGGAAAGAGGATTGCAAGATTCTCTCGAACTTCAATTCCCAGTAAACCACGGATAGGCGCAGGCGCAATGAACAGTCTCCTATCCCCGCCCAACAGGGGAGTGGCGGGGAGATCCGGAGGCAGAAGGGTAGAGCGGAAAAGTACGCACAGACTCCCGGGAAGTGTAGGCTGGGCGGGACCAAGAAAGTAGACGAAAAAGGGATTAGAACTCTCGGCCACCATACTGCCTCACTTTGTACTTTCTTTTTACCCCTCAGGGAACCGCCCCACTTCCGGCCAAGAGGAGACATGGATGCTGGGAGATGAAGTTCTCCTAATGATAATGGCATCCTCCCAGTATTCGTCCTCTCTGAAATTCCACTTTATAGGATCCCATACACTGGCACAAACTCTGCAAGTGTCAGCCAGTTAAAAGACAGGCCTTTTACCACCTCCCAAGAATGAACATCTGTTTTTTAATACAAAGTAACAAAAGTAACAAATTTGGACATGCTTACCTAAAAGTGGTGCTTTCAAACTTTCTCCATAGAAACCCAGACACCATCCCTTTGTTTATATCACAACCCAATAGACACATATATAAAATGCTCACGTTATTCCACTCATTTAAAAAAAGAAAAAAGAAACTTTTTTTCAAACACGGAAATACCTACTGGTCCTTTTTCTCTAACCCATACCACATTCCTTCTTTCCCACAACTGAAGTTCATGACAATTGAAACAAACAGGAGGTGGAATGACAGAGGGCAAAATTCAATTCAGCTTGGTGGTTTCTTCTTTATTGATATGCCTCCTACCTCCCCCTGACAATGTCAATCCCTTCCATCTACCCCCCCAAAAAGAAGGTAGTGAAAGGAAGGGTTGGTTGGGGTTCTGAGCCTGCTGGGCAGTTAGAAAGGGAATAGAAACCAAAACAATCAACGGTTGTGACAGAGATTGACAATCAAGAAGTCTAAAGCAGAGAGGGAATGGAGGGCAAACAAGGGGAGAGGAAGATGTACAGACTGCGTCTACCATGACCCCTCTTGCTGAGAGGGACTGGAGAATCAGCCTCAAACATTAAGTGCAGGTCCTGAAGGAGGGAGATGGTGTTTTCCCCTGAAGAAGGAAGTAGATGTCAAGGAAGGAGCGCCACCTCTCTTTGTAGAATGGAACCCCCCACCTCAGGGACAGCAGCTTCACAGACCGTAGACACTTTCATCACTGTAGGCAATGTATAGAAAGAAGTCTTCTTCATGGTGTTCCTACAGTGAAACCAAAAAAGGCTGTAATGGCAACTTGAATCCAAGACACTCCTCAAGAATAATTCTTTTAGGGATGGCCTGGTAATTCCAGCTCCTGGAAATGACTCAAAGTTAAAGGCCACCAAGGCAACTTTAAGAACTTGATTCAAAATACAACTGAAGATATAGGTCATCTATAAGGGACCTACCTAGCAAGTGTAGGCACTAAATATAGTCCCTAGTACAAAAGGGATAATAAAAAGCAATTTATTATTTTCTCTCTCTTCTTTAAGAAAAGCTGACCTCAGACTACATAGCCAAGGTAGTTTCCAACTCAAGATACTACTTGCTTGTTTTCATTCATTTTTATTTTTGGGGTGTGTGTGAGTATTCTGGGGTTTTCGTTTTGAGATAGGATCTTACTATGTAGTTCTGGCTGGGCTCAAACTCTCGATAGACCACAATGGTCTTGAACTTAGAGATCTACCTGCCTCTACTTCCAGAGTGCTGAGATTGAAGGTGTGCATGAGTATACACCACTGTCGGCTGTTTTATGTTTGTTTTGACACAGGATCTTAATATGTATCTCTGATTTGCCAGGACAGCTTCAGAGACCCAGCAATTTTAATGATAGGATTAAATTTGGGTACAGAAGCAACCGTGATTGTGCTGACACAGGCTCCTGCCTCCTGAGGACTTACAGGGTTAAAAGTATACACCACTGTGCATCTGTTATTCAAGGTGGGGGCTTCAAGTGTGCTGGCGCACACCTTTAACTCCAGCACTCAGGAGGTGGAGGCAGGCAATCTCGAGTCCAAGGCCAGCCTGGTCTACAGAGCAAGTTCCAGGATAGCCAGGGCTACACAGAGAAACCCTGTCTCAAAAAAAAAAAAAAAAAAAAAAAAAAAAAAAAAAAAAAGAAAAGAAAAAGAGAGAGAGAGAAAGAGAAAGAAACTGTCCTGACATCTTGGATGAGGGGAAGAGACTTGGGTAAGTAGGGGGTCCCAATTAAAACAGCTACTACTCCAACTCAAGCTCTTCTGTCAATTCTCACTGCTGTTAAAATCCCAACTCCTTTCTTGTATTCAAGCTGTCCAGGACTCCTCTCCAAACACTCCCATTACGTCCAACGTACTATACCTGGTATAGCTGTCCCATCGTGGCACTGGTGGGTGGAATGACATTGTTGACAAAGAAAAACAAGGCATCTTCAGCACGGAGATGAATTCGCTTCCGGATCAAGAAGTAGAATTGACCAACTGCCAAAACAAGAGATGCAAGAATGTCACAGAGGTCATCAGTGCTTCCAGAAAACAGCTGCCAGGTGAAGCGTCCTCCCACGAAGATGGCACACCCACCCACTGAAGGAGAGCCACATTTAGGGTCACGTGCCCACCTGTAAGATCGGAAGGCACCAGGTATTTCTTTTTGTCCAAATCTCCTATCCGAGCTTTGGGAGCTTTTTCCACTATCACCTGATGAAAGGAAGATACGACTGAGAAGACACAAAAAATACAACTACATCGATGAAAAACTCAAGATACGATATTCCAGAGATTCTGGCCTCACTGGCTTACCTAAATATTGAGTACTGGTCACAGAGTGGGTCATCACAATAACTATTGTCATCAGAGAAACAGGATGATTTGTTTGGTTAAACTCTACCCTAAATCTAGGTAGTTGAGAGGATGGCCATGAAAGCCCTGGTTGTCAAGCTCCCTAAGGCCTACATTCTGATAAATGCCCAGGTCTCACCCTCTCCTGTCCACATCACAGTCCCAGCTATACTTATACAAGCTTCTCAATTCCTGGTACCAGGGACAACCGTTTCAGACTCCTATCCAAACGACAGACTGGAGCCTGACCACCGCTTTCCCAGACTCAAGCCTAGCTTGTGGCGACAGCGTCAGCACCCTGAGGCTTGGTTCTTGATACTGTCCTTACCGGGACCCGGTCTGGGTATTTCTTTCGGATTTTCTCGCCCTCAGAGCGGCGCTTCTCGAACGGATGCTCCTCTTTGTACACGAACTTCATTCTCCCGAGAGCCGGGCTGGACCTAGCTGGGCTGAGGAAACCCAGGGGGGGGGGCCGGGACAGGGGGCGGCGGCGGAGGTGGCAGCGGCTTCGACGAACAGACTCAGCGGAGCGATCCGCGAACTTGCGCCACTTCCCTATTCACCAACCCCGCCCCCGACCATCCGGTGCGGCCCCGCCTGCTGAAATACGCCACTAGCTCAGCTCGCTAACGCCACTGGCGTAGCACCGCCCGCTGCCCAGACATCTCACGCCTTCAGCGTAACCGCTTTGGAATCGATTTATGTGTTACGCAGATGACATCGCTGCGAAGACTGCTGTCGTTTCAAACCCTTTCTCCGGTAGCCTCGCAGCACGAAGCTGAGGACGAAATAGGGTAGCAGGTGGTGGTCATAAGAGTTGGGTCTCTAGTTCCTTTACGTAGGGGAAAGCAGACAATTACAAGTCTAGCTATTCATGAAACAGGTCACTACGCTGAAGGTGGCCGTTGACACCAAAACAAAGTAGTACCCAAGAGGTAGATGTGGACTCCACAATATAAGGCCAGAAAGGAAAGGTGTTTGCAGACACGAACAGAACGCTTAGGTATTGAGGTTGAGTGAACCAATAGGAACTGCAAAGTCCAAAAGATGGGGACTACGCCAATGCGGAGGAATACATTTTGAGAGGCACATAGTATCATGTGACCTCAAAAAGGGCGGAGCATCACGTGGCGGGTACCAGAAAGTAGACCCGGCTCTGAGAGGTGTCAGAGTTCCGCCCCAAGCCTACCGCAGGAGAGCCAACAGCCCATTGGCAGCGCCCTCTTAGCCTGTCCACGTCAACCTCCCAGACCAAGCCCTGCCTTTCTCCAGCTGTGAATGCCCTTTGAAGGATCCAGGCTTCTCATCTTCAGCCTTCTATGTCCTAGTCTGAAGTTGCTCTTCCACTATTCCTGGGGCTCCCATCTTATCCCTGGAGCCTTTCCTGCCAAACTACGTTGACACAAACCACTTTATCCCTAAACAGAGTCCCACTTCCCTACATCCCAAACAGCATCTCCACCCCACCCCCACTCCGTTTCAGGGTCAGGGTGGATGTGAACAAGTTCCCACCGCTACCAAAAACGTCAGAGAAGGACCTATGGCAGCTTTGGTTTCAAAGTTATAATGCTTGGTTTAAAAGAAAAGAGAAAGTTGATTACAGGTATCAGGGGGTTTGGGGGAAGAAAAAAATTAGGAAAAGTAAGGGAAGGACAAATTTGAGGAAGATCCAGTGGCCCAAAACCCCAGGCTCCCACCCACAGCCCAGCCCTTGGAGCAGGAGTGAAGAATTAGATCAGTTTTATACAAGAGTTTTTAAAAAATCAAATCACAACAAAGTTGACTTTGCTTCTTTCCAGCCTCTGGGATCATGTCTGTCACTCAGGCCAGTCTTGCCTCTCCACCAGACAGTTTCAGCTCTCCAAGGCCTTCACTTGTCCCGGTCTGGCATTTCCATGGAGTGTGAACACGAAGAGTGAGGCTGCTTCACAGTCTGGCCCATGTGTCCATCCAACTCCGTAAGTGGAGTGCAAGGCTCCAGGGGCAGAGAGGGATAGGAGGGGCAGACCCTGCCCAGGCAGTCCTCACATTGGACAGGGCAACAGACGGCATCCCAAGAGTTCTCCCTCCCTTCCCCCCCACCCAACTCAGGTGGGGGGGGAGCAGCTGTCACCAGAGTCTATGTTGGTGAAGGTTTCGGCTCAGCACAGAACGGACATCAGCAGTGAACCTGGAATGACAGCAACTTGCATTGGTGGAGTTCCTTACAGTCGATACCCTCACCATGGAGCCTCACTGGAGACTTAAGGTGCAACTCAAACAGCGGGAGGCCCAATCTGATAGAAGCCAAATAGCTAAAAGCAGAGCTCTGAAGTTAAAAAGACCTGTCCCAAACACTGAAGTTCTGACAGACTTTTTTTTTCTTCTAATTCTTTTGAGATCCACCCACCTCTTCCTTGGCAACCCAAGTGTTGTTAGATATGGGGGTGCACCTATGACCCCAGCTAGCACTTGTGAGGATAAGCCAGGAAGTCCCAAGTTTCAGGACAGCACAGGCTACGTAGAATTTGTCTCAAAAAACAAAACAAAACAAAACTAACACAGAAAGAGGGAAAAACAGAGATCAAAAGGTATCTATAGAATACTTCCCTTACCTGAGGGCATCCAACATTGGGAGAAGGTTGAGAAGGGCTGTGTCACTGGGGTCACTGAACCAGGATTTGATAGGGATGGCATTGTCTAGGGTGGGTAAAATTACAGTTGAGAAGAGGCGAAGAATTCAAGAGAGCCTGTGAGTTTTCCTTAATATTATTACTTAAAAACCCATATACCTCACCCACCAAAAAGTTATCAGCCACCTAAGTAAAACCCTTATTTCTCTTCAAATGTCAAAATGAATTACCAATAGACTTCATAACAGTGTGAGGCTAGAGTTCTGGTCAAACTGCCACTGTGCCTCACTTGAAGTGAATCTGACCGGGAAGTCCCATTTATAAAACAGACACATGAGCGTGGGTACCTCATTTGGAATAGAGAAACAACTTAAATTCAGATCTGTAGTACAGTAGGAAATCCAAACTCTGGGACTAGAACCCAGGTCTTCTGCCTCCTAGCTCCTGGCATTGAAGCTCTCAAGGAGTTAGGGGTATAGCTAAATGGCATAGTGCTTTGCCTGGGATTTAGTGTGAAGACCTGGGTTCCATCCCCAGAACCACTAAAACAAAGAGTTAGGTCAGGTTAGCCTGGTCCTATAAGGAGGCCCTGTATCAGAGCCATTTCCTGGTCCTGCCAGACTCACCACCTTCCCCATACCTGGGTGGCTCCTATAAGCCCCGGGGGAGTTATCCAGGATCACAATGCTGGAGAGGTCACTGTGAACCACAGAGAGGTCTTTGATGTAGCTGCCCAACTCCAAAGTGCAGTGCTGAAAAGCAGAGGTTGATGTAGCATACATATACCTATCCCCATCCCCATTTCCATCCCATACACAGGACCCAGGTAACCTGCCTCTCTTTCAAACCTGATTCTGGCTCCTTACCTGTCTATAGTATCTCCTCTTAAGAATGCTTCTGCTATTGTCCAGTTTATCTGCCACAGCAGAGCCATAAATTTCCATGCTTGCTGTAAACACCACAAGTTCATACCACTGGCTTACCTAAAGGAGGTTTGGAGAGGAATAAAGATGTCATACAAAGTAATCATTTAAACATAATGATTTTCAGCCTAGCCCTTTGGCCTTCAAGTAACATCAAAGTCTGTGAAAATGCAAAGTATCTGGACCCTCTGCCAATCTTCCAAACTCAGTATCTGAGAAAACAAACACCCGCAAGGTTCAAAAATATAAACACAAAAGTGCAAGATGCCTGTGAAAGAACAGAATTATAGCACTGCAACAAATGAACCCAAGCTACTCAAAGCTATTCCCTTACTTCCCTACAGATTCCCCTTACAAAACTGTCCTCACCCATGGTCCTAGTTGCTATAAACACTGACCAAAACCAACTTGGGGAGGAAAGAATTTATTTCATCTAATAACTCCCAGATCACACCCCATCACTGAGGGAACTCAAGACAGGAACCTAGAGGCACTAAAGTAGAGATCACACAGGAATGCTGCTTACTGCTTGCTTTCCATGGCTTGCTCTGTTTTCTTACCCCACCCAGGACAACCTGTCCAGGGGTAACACTATCCTCAGTGGACTGTGCAACTACCAAGCTGTCCACTTCTCCAACCACAAAGACACAGCATCTACTAGGTGCTTAGCCTTGCAGGTGTAAGACAACTCATTACCATTTTAACATAAACTGAATTCATAATTTTTTCTAATACATAGCCATCTTATCAGTTCTGTTCCTCTAGAGAACCTTATTACAAATTTGCAGCAGAAAATGGGATCTGCTGTGACAGACCTTCCCATGTTGATCTGGGGAAGGACTGTGGAATCATGTGAAACTTTGGAGCCGGAGAAGCCACTGAATGCTTATTGCCTAACAGGCTGTTCTTCAGAGAGCTTAGAATATAATGTGGAGAACTATGCAAAGGATAGAAGGCTGGACTGTAAAGTTTCAGAGGGAAACCAAGACTAGCAGGGCTGTTTACGTAATATCTTGGATTAAGAATCACAATTTGTGGACACAGCACCCACATCAGGCATCTCATGAGTAACTGCCTGCAACTTCTAGGTGCTCCAGCACCAGGCCTCCGTGGGTACCAGGAATGCATGTCGTACACAGACATACATGCAGGTACTCACATATATGCACAAAGTAAAAATAAAACAACTCATTTTAAAAAGAAGGCTCTAGGGACCAAAGCCAGGCATGGCTGGTACACACCTCACAGAGGCAGGAGAAACTCTGTGAGTTTAAAGCCAGCCTGGTCTACAGATCAAGTTCCAGGACAGCCAGAAGTACATAGAGATCCTGTCTAAAACAACCACAGTCTGTGGAAGAGAAACCTGTGCTTTAATGGGACAATGGATGCTGGTTAGCTAAGGCTGAATTATCAGTTGTGAAGAAGAGACCAGCGCACAGAGGTGAAATCTTCTAAAGTTATTTACTCAGGGCTGGCACACAGAAATTATGGTCTGATTAAGGCCGCCTCTAAAGCTGGCAGCCAAACTTGGTATGTGTTTCAAAGTCCACACCTTACTACAGGTTTTGGCAGAAGGATGCTACAGAATTAAAGGGATCATGGAGAAAAGTTGAGGTTTGGCACTGTGAAAGGCCAGGAAACCCAAGAACTAAAAGGTCATGAAGTGAACCTAAGGCTTCGTACCATGGGACAGAGTCAGAGTTCCTGAACGGGCTAAGAGACAATTAATTGGTGAAAGTGCAACCTCAGTTGCAGCATAGACCCTAGCATATTGTATATGCCAGGACCATGGGATGATCACGGGAAACCAAGCAGATGTGAAGCAGAGTTGGCCTGTGCCTATGAGACAAGCTGTGTGTGCTACTGACGGCAAAACTAGAGAAGTTAGGCTGCCCAAGCTCGTGGAGCCCTGGAGACTGTGAAGTGAGTCCCAAATGTCAGACACTGAGCTGTAAGATTTGATTTACACTACTGGATGTTGGTTTTGCTATGATATGATTGTAACCCTGGTTCTTCCCTCTTATAATAAGAAAGTAACTTGTGCCAGGCGATGCTGGCACATGCCCTTAATCCAAGTGGGGATGAGAGGTTAAGGAGTGGAGGAATTGGTTAGAATTGGTTAGAGACAGGCAGATCTCTGAGTTGGAGGCCATCCTGGTCTACAAAGTGAGTTCTAGGTCAGCTAGAGAAACTCCATCTCAGGGGGTTAAAAAGTAACTTGTTTTTGATTTTACAGGAAGCCAGAGTTAATACAATTAAGAGACTGAATATTTAAAGAGACTTTGATTTTTTTTTTTTTTAAAGAGAGCCAAATGGATGAACAGTAATTTGTATCAAATTATGGCTGTCTACCATCCATACATGTAAATAAAGCCCTCAAAGAATTGTTTTTTCTTTTCTCTCTTTTTTTTTTTCTGGGACAGGGTTTCTCTGTGTAACAGCTCTGGCTGACCTGGAACTTGCTTTGTAGACCAGGCTGGCCTTGAACTCACAGAGATCCACCTGCCTCCGTCTCCTGAGTGCTGGGATTACAGACATGAGCCACTATCGCCCTACTGAGACTTTGAACTTTTACGTGTTTGAATTTTTTAAAGACTGTAGAACTTTTTTTTTTCTAGATAGCGTATTTCTCTGTATGGCTTTGGAGCCTGTCCTGGAACTAGCTCTGTAGACCAGGCTGGCCTCGAACTCACAGAGATCTGCCTGCCTCTGCCTCCTGAGTACTGGGATTAGAGGCATGTTCCACCAATGCCCTACTAAAGACTGTGGGACTTTTAAAGTTATAGTTTATATTATCAAATAAATATGAGACTTAGGGGAATAAAGTTAATGGTTTTTAAGACTTATTTGCATATTTTTTTTCTTTTTCAAAATATGTTCATGTAGGTGTGGATAAGTACATGTGTGTACAGGTGCCCATGAAGGCTACAGGCATCAGATCCCGGAGCTGGAGTTACAAGTGGTTGTGAACCACCTAATGTGGCCCTCTGAAAGAGAAACAAGTACTATCCACCACTACCCATCTTTGCCACACAAGAGTATGGTTTTTAAACTGACATGTCATTTTGTCAAGTGATAAGGGATGGACTGTGATGTTTGGTTTTAATGTCAACTTGCCACAGGTTACAACCACCAAATAGAGCACTCAATTGAAGAATTGCCCTAATTGCTTTAAGTGATATGGGAAGACCCTCCATGAGAGTTGGTAGAACCTTCTGGTAGCTGACCAGGGGAAAAAGCACGGTAGAAGGAAGGTTATTTGTCTTTTGCTCATTTGACCTTCCCCCTTGCCATTGTTGATTCACCCTGCTGCTGCAGCTGCTTCCTTCACTAATGTCACAACCAGCATTTTTAAGCATCTATCATCAACTAAGGAACCTCCTAATTTTTCAGCACCAGACCGGAACTGTTGAAATACCAGTCTCATTGACCGAGTAACTATCAAATTGTCAGCCTCTCCAGTAGAAGACCAATACTGTGGGACTGCTCCAGCCTCAAGTACTGAGCATCTATCAGGTTTTAGCCTCTTAGTTGTCTTAGTATGAGACAACTCATTACTATTTTATTGAAAGCTGAATAATATATATCTATATATTTATATTCTATTGGTTCTGTTCCTCTAGAGAACCCTGATCACCACACCAAAACTTCTCACCCTTCCTCCAAATCGCCGGAAGATCCTAACCCTACCACCATTTTTCCATCAGCTCATGCACACTTACCACTTCTAAGAAGAAATCCACATGTGGTCTCTTATGTACAAAAAACCGGACAGGATGTTTGTCTATTACCACCTGTGAAGGAACAGGTAAAAAAAAGATGAGGGAGTCCTGAGCACCACCACAATGACCTTGCCCCTGTGCCCACCGCCTGCTCCTCTTCTTCTGGCTGATGCTGGTGCCAGGTCTTGACAAGCCCTAACCCTTAAGACTGGGAAAGAGTTTATATGTGGACACAGTAAGAGATGTAACTATTCATAATTTCCACATACCTTGAGGATGAAATCGGGAGGTGTTCCAGGCCTCACTGTAGGCCTCAGGACCCCATCATGGTGAGAGTGAATAAGTGTCTCATCCAGATCCAGCACCAGGATCTTCTTCTTCACCTGGGCTGAACCACAATGGGAAGAAACAACACCGATGACCTCCAGCCCAAAGCTGGAGTCTTTTTTCACCTGTGGGTAGTCTTCCCATCCAACATACTCACCTAGTCGATTCCGGGACAGAGGAGATAAGGGGAGGACATCATATCGAACAGTCTGATACTGAATTACCTAAAAACAGCAAGAGAAAGGAAATCAGAACCCTTTATAAGGAAATCTTTCCTGACAGTAATAATAGCAAATACTGAACATTTACCACATGCTGGGTACTATATGTAAGATTCAGGCCCTAATGTATAATCCTAATAGGGAGACAGAGTAACATTCAATGATAGAACACTTGTCTAACATGCAAGAGACTCTAGGTTCAATGGCCAGCACCATTAAAAAATAATAATAATAATAATAATAATAAAAATTCAAGTAATACTATAATTATCCTTGTTTAATGGGTGGTGAGATAGGCAACAAAGAGTAAATACATTCATGTCTCGGGTTGTACAGCTAGTCTTATTATTAAAGCTAAAACAAAAACTCCATGAGAACACGAATTTCCTCTCAATAATGTTTCCAATGTTAAAAACCATCGAAAGGATGCCAGGTGGCAGTGGTGCACACCTTTAATCCCAACACTTGGAAGGCAGAGGCAGGCAGATCTCTGTCAGTTCGAGGCCACCCTGGTCTACAGAGAAAAGTTCCAGGATAGGCTCCAAAGCTACACAGAGAAACCCTTCTCAAAAAACAGCAACAACAACAAAAAACAAAAACAAAAACTGTAGCAAGGATAATTAGCTAATAGAATATGCCCTCTTAATATATCCTGCTGCACTGAACAAAGAAAACACACAGGTTCCCCACCTTCACCTCAAGGATTTTTTTAGGGCCACTCCTGTTCTCTCTTGTTGGGAACCAAGAACCTCAGACTCTTAGTGGGCAGAGACCAGGAGTGAGGAAAGGAAGTCCTTGGATCACTGAGGGGAACAGTAGATAGGGAATCCAGGGGTTGTCAGGTCAGCTAAGTTCCTCTGGCTAGGGGCCATCAGGACTATTTTAACCAGACACCTGTCCACTTCTGTTTCTACTAGCCAAGTCACAAGTTGTAGTGAATGTCTGCCCAGGGCAGTGTAGAGAACATTGTAATGTCCTACTGTACAGTCCTACTACACCTGACAGGACATACAGAAGGCCAAAGTGAAGCAAGGACTGTGAGAGAAAGGTGAAAAGGGACAAGGACATCATCACTCAAGCTTTCCAGCTCTGCTTTTCCAAGGCTTCTCTAGAAACTATTTCCTAATCCCCAGAGCTTCTATGCAAAGTCTGGCAATTCCCTCCTCTGCTCTTTTCTTCTAACATACAAATGCTCTCAGTCCATCCCTAGGCCCTAAGCCACACACTCCTTACTTGAAAACCAAAAGGCCCTCTCTTCTTTAATCCCAAGGCATCTGCCCTTCTTTTCTCCCTGAGCCTGTGATGAGGGCTGAAACAGCTCGGGTGTCCTGCCCGGCTATCTCGGGTTGCACATGCTGGGCATGTAGGGAATGCTCTAAGTATCAGCCAGAAAGGGCGTGGGGAAGAAAGCAGACTGGAAGGGAAGGGAGGACAAAAGGCTGTGGGGTCAGTGATGTACAGGAGAGCAATTTAGGAAGTAACTAATCGTCTAATACATGGACTAGAGCACTACTCCCTGCACTCAAAAAAAAAAAAAAAAAAAAAAAAAAAATCTGTTAGAACAGGGCAGATTCTCAGGACAAGCTCAGAATGAAAGGATGAGCAGACATCAACACATAAAATCACAGGAGTTAGGCCCACATTGTGTCAGTTTTGCACACACCAACTCTTTCGTGCATCATACCACTCTTAGGAGACTAGATCTGCTTACAACCACCACTACCACCACCCAAAATAATCCTCACCCTGAACCAGGAAGTGGAAGAAATAGAACGGACTGCTAGAGAATGAGTGCAAGTCCAAGGTATTCTCTCAAATCAGTCAAGTCTACTGCCAGTACCACCAGTCTTTCTGGGAAGGCTCTTGACCTAGGCTGCCAAAGATTACACTCAGCTCACTCATTTAGGAGACTTGTCCCAGAGGTGATGAAAACATAAGGGCACATTCATCAAGTGATGTTAGCGGAAATAAATTTTACCTTGGAGAAATGCTTGAGAGACAGAACCCAGAGATGCTTGGGTTCATCCAAACAGTCTCTACACTTCAGGTATCTCTTCCTAACTGCTACAGTCTCCTGGAGAAACATGCCCACCTTCAGATGCAAGCTTACAGCTAACAGGCATGTCTTCTAATAAGACACCCAACTTTAATGTGCTGCCCATTATAAAAGCATCGTTTTCAGTCCCAGGGTCTCAACACTACAAACGCTACATATTTCCAGAGCCTTTTTGGAGGAGCTCCTTCCAAGTTTCAATCCCTGCTACACATATGCCCTCCTACATACACACCCCACTGACAAAGGAGCCTGGCTTTCAACAGCAGGGTCTTTCCAGAGCCCACATCAACAGTCTGGCTACCAGCAAACAGGTGTCGCCAGACTCTTGCTTTCTTTAGCAACAACTTCAGCTTCCTTAAGAAGTGCACCATTCTAGACCCCAAGAGCTGCCAAATCCTATCCTATCTAGGTAGATTAAAAAAGAAACCGAAATCACTACAGATCTTGGTTCTTCTATAAGGATCTAAACCCTGCTTAAAGGTGTCCTACTTGTCCAGCGGGTAAAGCTCTGGCCAAGGCTCCCTTCCTAGGCCCAAAACAGAGGCCCAACGCTATCCAAAATTCCATGAGCACCGCGGACAGAGGTCCCCACCACTGCCAGCCCCCATACCAACTCACCGTGCGGATCTGCCTCCGCAAAAGGTAAATAAAGAAGCTCCAGAGCTTGGCGGCGAAGGCCACGAACGTGCGCAGCCCCAGCAGACACTGCGTCCGCATCATCCCGATGACCCCGGCACCGCCGGCCCCGGGGCCCCCGCGGCCCAGCTCCGCCAGCCCCCCGGGGGCAGCCCCCCGCCGCCGGGAGGGGGAACGGGGGCCCCGAGCGGCAGGAGAGGCTGCAGAGATGGGCACGGAGCGGGTGGCTCAGAAAGCCACCCCCAGCGAAGGGAAAGCCCAGCGGAACCCGGAGCTGGGGGACTGGCGTGGGCAGCCCGCAGGGGCCCACATGAGCGGGAAGCGGCACCGACGGCTTCGCGTGGGCTGCAGGCCGAGACGGGTCGGGCTAGGACGGGGTCCTCTGAGACCAGGAGGGAAGGGGATGGAGAATTGGGGGAGGGGGCAATGGGGGAGGGGGTAAGGGAGAAGGGAGGGAGGGAGATGGGAGGGGAAGGGGGAAGCGAAGGGTGGCCCTCTGCGCAGGCGCGCTAGGGGTCTGCCCCGGGAAGGGGGCGGGCGGGGGCAGCGGCGCGCGAAGGGCCACGACGACTCTTGGGGCCAGTGAACGCAGGAACAGGGAAGGAGGGGGAGGGGGAGCCGAAGGGCGCGGAGCGCTGGGCCGGAGTGGCCTCCCCCTCCCCGAGGTCGGGGTCTCTTAGCCGCTAAGGAGCGGTGCTGCAGCCCCTGCAGCTGGGCTTCCCACTCTGACAGGCGCCATTTTACCGCCCAAAGGGCTCCCTCCTCCTGCCTTCCCTCCTCCTCTTCCCCTCTGACAGTACTTCCGGTAGTGACGTGTATTCACTTCCCTGGGATTGATGTTCCCTCAACTGGTTCTAATGAGGGAGGGTAGAGTTAAGGAAAGCAGGGAGCCCTGAACTGGGATGCAGCGTTGCGCACGCGCGCAAGGTTACTGCTGGGCGGGACCTGGAGCGAAGCCTCAGCGGTGTGGGCGGGGCTGAGTGACGTCATGTATTCCCAGGTTCGGCCCCTCTGGGGAGTGGGGCTCGTGCGACCGCTATTCCCATCCCACTGACAACAGTTCCAACGGCCCGTCTCGCCCTTGTCGTAGTCCAAGAACAAACTGAGGATGTCATTTCTACGACTGCGTACAGAGGTTCTGGAGCGGCCTCTCCGAGTGACCCCCTGGGAACACTGAACATAGAAAGAAAAAAAATAGACCCCCCCCCTCGTTCCAGACTTTGCGGGCTTTTAATGGTGGAAGCAATCGCAAGTGCCCCGCCTCCTTGGACATGACGACATCAGAAGGCGTCCGAGATGCTGGACTCGCTGTTGGCCATCGGTGGCTTGGTGCTTCTTCGAGGTAAGCAATGGAGGCACGCGGGGAGCCTCGGACCTGGCTGAAGGGGAGGAAGTGTGAGGGCCGGGGTATCCGCCGGGGATACCTGGCTAGGGGCGGAAGTCGCGGTGGATTCTGAGGTCAGAGGCCTAAGGTCTCTGTCGGACTCACCCCTGCTTGGCTCTCACAGATTCCGTGGAGTGCGAGGGCCGTAGTCTCCTAAAGGCTCTTATCAAGAATTCTGCACTTCGGTGAGTTATGTCACGGCTTCCCCTGGTCACTCTGGGAAGGGAGCTGCTGTCCCCACTTTTGAACATATTCCCATCATCTCTACTTTAGTGGGGAGCAGATCCACGTTCTGGGCTGTGAAGTGAGTGAAGAGGAGTTTCGCGAAGGTTTTGGCTCTGATACCAACAGCCGGTAAGTATAAATTAGAACGAGTTTCATTCGGGCCACAGTTGATAAGCGGCGTCTTTTCAACGGGAGCACAGGATCTCCTGTGTGAAAATGGGATTGTATGACTTGGAACAGTGGAAATTACAAACAAGACTAGCAGGGTTCTGGAGACTTTAGCTCCAGCTGGAGACAAAGGGACACAACCGTCATGGAAAGGAACACGAGGCTGTTGCCCACTAAACAAAAGAGAGCAGTGGACTGTACAGATATTTCCCTGTACGTGAGCATTCTGGCTTTAATGTTTGCAAGTTAATAAGAAACTACAACTTCTCCTTTAGGTGATGCCATCATCTTTCACAATGTCCTTGGAATTGCTTTGTTCGGGGCCTTATAATGCCCAGGACTATAGGCGCTAGAACTGAATTGAAAACACGAGATAAAAGCATACTAACTCCAAAGTGTAATCGGCTAAATTAACCTTTGAACAGAACTGTTTTCCTTTTTGTTTTGTTTTTCTTCCTCAGAAAAGGACATTTGCTAATTTAAAAATAAATAAATAAATGTGATCTCATTATGTGGCCTAGGCTGCCTTGAAACTCACTGTGTTGCCCACAATAACCTCCAACTCTCCTCAATCCTGTCTCACTCTCCAGTGTGCTATGATTATGTTACAAACCACACCTAATTATAATATGTCTTTAATATAAGGCCACTGTGGTAATACCACCTATAATTCCATCATCCAGAAGACAGATACAGGCAGAGCTTTGTGTGTTTGAAGCCAGCCCTGTCTTCATAGTGTGTTCCAAACCAGTAAGGTCTACATAGTGAGACCCTCTATCTAAATAAATAATAAATGTAAAACAAATAAAATCTCACTTTAATAGACACAGATAATTACGGAGTTCTTTAAGTGATTGCACCCTCGGGCTGCTTTCATGATCATATGCTAAAAAAGAATATTGACTTTAAAATTTATTTTGGATTTTTCTTTTTAAATCTACCTGCCTCTGCCTACTAAGTACTGGAATTAAAGACATGTGCCACAAATAAGTCACAAACAGGATGGAAAAAACTCTGCTTTAAAGCAGCATTCTTTTTTTTTTTTAATCTACTTATTTGTATTTTGTGTATATTGATATTTTGCCTGTATTTGTCTGTGTGAGGATTTTGGACCCCCTGAAACAGGAGTTAGAGACAGTTGTGAGTTGGTATGTGAGTGCTGGGAATTGAATCTGGTCCTCTGGAAAAGCAGCTAGTGCTCTTAACTTGAGCCATCTAATCAACCCCCTAGTCCATTGATTACCATGTAGAGAATGTAACAAAACAAGTCGGTCTGGAGGTGGAGACTAGTTAGGAAGGTTAGTGCAGTATCCAGGTTCACTCCCTAGGTCAATCTGTATTGAGTACCAAAAACCAGGAGCTATGCTACCCTGGTTATAGAATAATGGATGAGACAAGCTTGGTGCCTGCCTGCTCTCGTCAATCTCAGAAAGCAGTGGTAAGAAATGACAGAGCCCTGTGGATGGCAGTATCTACAGGACAGGGATGTTTTGTTTGTTTTGTTGTGTGGGTTTTGCCTTGTTTTTTGAGACAGGGTCCCACTACATATCCCTGGCTGGCCTGGAACTTTAAATATACCAGGCAGATCTTGAGCTCACCTGTCTCTGCCTTTTGAGTGCTAGGATTACAGGTTTGCAACATGCCTAGTTTGGTAGGATTTTTTGGTTTTGTTTTGTTTGTTTGGGTGTGTTTTTGGGTTTTTGTTATTGTTTTTGTTCTTTGGTTTGGTTTTTCAAGACAGGGTTTCTGTGTGCCTGGCCAGTAATTATCTGGGAAAAGGGAGTCTAAAAATCAGGAAGAGGTGGATGGTAGCGGTACACACCTGTAATCCCACCACTCACACTAGTCAGAGGCAGGTGGATCTCTGTGAGTTTGAGGCGAGCCTGGTCTACAGAGCAAGTTTTAGGGCAGCCAGGACTACATACAGAAGCCCTGTCCAAAACAAAACAAAAAATAAGGAAGAAGTCCAAGGTTGTAACGAATCTTCTGTTTTCCCTTTATAGCCTGATTTACCATGACCTCTTTAAAGACCCTCTTAACTGGTCAAAACCTGGTGGAGCTAACCCTGAAGGACTTCTAGGAACCTTGAGAGCCTTGTGCAGAAGGACAAATCCGGGCCCTGTCACCATTGCTCTTGATTCTCTCAGCTGGCTGTTGTTTCATCTTCCCTGTGTTACACTCTGTCAAACCCTGCATGCCCTGACCCAGCAAACCGTCTCCCCAGGTGAGCTTCCTCCTGCTATTTACCCTTACATAGCTCCTCCTGCCAGAGGGTGTTGCCCCTTCTTTTCCACACCAAGAAGAGGCATCAGGAATCTCCAGTCTGATAACCTACCATCTCCTTAACCTTTTGGGGAGAACTGAGGGGTAGGGTGTTGGTTGTTGGAGATTTGTTGTTTTAAGACTGTGTGTCTAGCTGGACAGGGTTGAACATACTTTAATCCCAGTATTCAAAAAAAAAGAGAGAGAGAGAGAAAAGAAAGAGGTATAAGGATTTTGTTTTAATTTTGTTGTTGTTTTGTTTTGTTTTTTGAGAAAGGGTTTCTCTGCAACTTTGAATCCTTTGTGGAACTCGCTCTGTAGACCAGGCTGGCTTGAAACTCAAAGATCCGCCTGCCTCTGACTCCTAAATGCTGGGATTAAAGGCGTGTGCCACCATGTGTAGCAACAGTTTCTTTTCTTTTTTTCTTTTATTATTATTATTACTAGAATGCTTTTAAAGATAATTATTGTTACATAGATATGTTCCTATTTTGTAGAATGTTATGATTTCAAGGCTAACCACTTGGTATTGTGTCCAAATTGGGGGGCTGTTCCCTCAGGAAGACAGTTTCTCCCACTCTCAGCATTCCTGAGTTGCCTGTGGTTCTCTGCCTAGTGTTGAGGTCCTGTGGGGGTTTCCCCTTCCATGTTAGCATGTCTGTTGGTATTTCCCTTGTGTGGGTCTTGTTTAGGAGCCGTGTTAGTGAGGCTTAGTGGGTATGGCTTCTCTGACATTGCTAGGAAATGAAAGAGATGGCTCTGCAGTTTAGAGCACTGGCTGCTCTTCCAGAAGTCCTGAGTTCAGTTCCTAGAAACCACATGGTGGCTCACAACCCTCTGTAATGAGATCTGGTGCCCTCTGCTGGTGTGCATGAAGACAAGAGCACTCCATATAAATACAGGAATACATAAATCTTTCAAAAGGAAAAAAAAAAATCTCAGAGCAAGCTTCCTTTTCTTCTGGCTCTTATAATCTTTCTAACCCTCTTTCAAGGTGATCCCTGAGCCTTAGGTTCAGGAGTTGTGTTGTAGATATATCAGTTGGGGATAGGCATTATACAGTCATTTGTTCTCTGTACTTTGGTTAGTTATGATTTTCTGTAATGGTCTCAGTTCAGCTATATCCCAGAAAGATAATCAGGACCCGGCTGGGTTGAGAGGTTAGATCAACCTTGAGCTTCTGATCCCCTTTGCCTCCTAAGACTAAGTATAGGCCTGTACCACCATGCACAGTGTATAACCTGCTAATCTATAGCTTCTTTTATGCCAGCCATGAATCTTAGTAACTGAGTTATATCTCTAGCCTCTCGTTCAATTTTTTTACAATTATAAATACAGTGCAATGTCAGGTACAGTTTCAAATAATGGAGAAATAAGAACTGACCTTATAACTAGGTCATTGCCTTCTAGAAGTTTGGTCTCTTAAAAGATACAAAAAAATAAATGTGGCTGGAAATGATGCTCAACACCCTCTTCTGGCCTCTCAACACCCATACATATCAATAAAAATAAGCCATTTTTTAAAAATTAGAGCTGGCTGTGGAAAGACATACCTTTAATCCTAGCAGAGGCAAGCCAATTTCTTAAGAGTTCAAGACCGGTCTGATCTATTTATTGAGATCCATGCCAGCCAACCTTATCTAGTGAGACCTTGACTCAGAAATAAGTGAATGAATAAATAAATAAATGTGCCAGTTTGGGCCAGCCAGCAAGCAGCTTAGTGGGTAAAGGTGCTTGCCACAAAGTCTGAGGACCTTTATTCAACGCCTGAGTACCACGTGTTAGAAGAAGTTAACCTCTCATCTCCACAAGCATCTATGGCACATGCACACCATGGAACATAACACGCATATGTAAACACCCACAAAATAAATATAAAAAAACAAAATGTGCCAAAGTGTTCGATACAGTATATCACATTGTTGATATTCCCAGAAAGGAACACACTACCTAATATCCACAGCATACAAGCAGTTCAGTAATTGATGAGGCTGCAAAATTTGTAGACACATGCTAAAAGTGCTCATGTCATGCTGAAAGATAGTGGTCCCCTGACCAGATGTGAGCAGTATGGGGAAGTAGTAAGACTGGCCAAGGTAGGTCCAATATGCTATGATGTTGGCCTCTCCTTTTTTCTCTTCACTGTGTACTCCCAATGCCTCACCTAAATGCTACCTTGTGTCTTTCATGTCCCTATCCAGGTCCTAACTCCCCAGTAGAACAGGTACGTGTCCTGGGCCTACTGCATGAGGAGCTTCATGGTCCCGGCCCCATGGGAGCACTGAACACCCTTGCTCACACAGAGGTGACTGTGAGTGGTGACATGGCCCAGACTTCAGCCTCCATCCTCTATCGAAGGCCCCAACAGCGTGCAACTTACCAGGTCAGGAAAGGCAAGAGAGAAGGCTGGGGATTAGGGTCAGAGAAGGACCAGTGAGTGCCTTAGTCAGGGTTTCTATTGCTGCTATGAAATGCCATGAACAAAAGCAAGTTGGGGAGGAAAGGATTTATTTGGCTCATACTTCCATGTTTTAGTCCCTCATTGAAAGGAATCCAGGCCAAGGAACTCAAAACGGCAAAGAACCTGGGGGCAGGAGCCGACGAAGAAACCATGGAGGAGAGCTGCTTACTGGCTTATTCACCCTGCATATAGCACCCAAGACCACCAGCTCACAAGGGATCCCACCACAGCGATCTGGGCTCCCCCCCCCCCCCCCCCCGTCAATCACTAATTAAGAAAATACCCTATAAACTGGATCAGTCAGAAGAATTTTCTCAATATCAAACTGACGTAAAACTAGCCAGGACAGGAAGCATGATGGGAAGAGCAGTAAAAACTGATGTTTATTTGTAGGGTAGAAGCAGGAGAATAGGGAGTTAAAGTACCTAGTAAGCTCAGGGACAGCCTGGTCTATATGACACATGAGAGTCTGTCTCAGGAAAAAAAAAGAGAAAGCTGATCTAATTACTTCCGTGTTGTTGATGGTTTGTTTGTTTCACTCTGTTTGAGAAGAGGTCTCACTGTGTAGCCCTTCCTAGCCTGGAACTTGATCTTTATTAATCTATCTGCTTACTTCTTTATTTGTTATTTATTTTTAAGGCTAGGTTAACTTGGAACCTACAGAGATCCACCTGCCTTTGCCTCTGAAGTTCTAAGGTTAAAGACATGTACCACCATGCCTAGCATCCTGTATTTTTGGTTATTAGTTTTTGGTGTTTTGAGGCAGGATTTCTTTGTATTGCTTTGGAGCCTGTCCTGGAACTCACTCTGTAGGCCAGGCTGGCCTTGAAGTCACAGAGATCCACATGCCTCTGCCTCCTGAGGCTGGGACTAAAGGCGTGCACCACCAATGCCCAACCTGTGTTTATATTTTGTGGTCCTTAAATATGCTCACACACTGCCATCCCTGGGTTTTCTGTTGTTTTACTCATTCAGTCTTCACAGCTACCCTATGACCCTGTGAAGTAATTGTTTTATCCTTGCTTTTCAGACTGGAAAACAAAATCCAGGGATGTTAAAATTTAAGTCACTTACCTAAGTAATAAACACCAAGTGAAATACACAGAATTTGAACTCAGGGTTGCACAACTCAAGTGCTTATAAACTATTCAGATGTGGTGGCACACCTCTTTTATCCCAGCATTTGGAAGGCAGAGGCAGGCAGATCTCTTGAGTCTGAGGCTCACCTGGGCTACATAGTAAGTTCCAGGACAACCAGGGCTAGGGAGATCTTGTCTCCAGAAAGCAAGAGTCATTAACTTAACCAATTAAGGAGGCTGTCTTACACCAAATAAATGAGGGATTTTTTTTTTCTTCCCTAGACTTGGTGTTTCTCCATTCTTCCTGACTTCAGCCTGAATCTCCATGAGAAGCTTCCCCTCCACTCTGAGCTACACCCAGATCCTCACACAACCCAGGTATCTAAAAGAGGCAGAGCGAAGTGTGAGCTTAATTAAGAGTCTGTCAAAAGGACAAATAGAGGTAGAGATGCTAACCAGGCATTGGCAGTGCACACTTCTGATGCCCTTGCAAACATAGGCTGGCAAAATACCAATGAACATAAAAGTAAAAACTACAACAGCAAAGCCAGGCAGGGCAGTAGTGGTGCATGCCTTTAATCCCAACACTGGAGAGGCAGAGGCAGAGGCAGGCGGATCTCTGAGTTCAAGGCCAGTCTGGTCTACAGAATTGTAGGGCAGGCTCAAAAAAAAACAAAACAAAACAAAACAAAAACCACTATAAAGGGAGGGAAATGCCAGAAGGTAGAAACAGGCAGAGTTCTGAGTTCAAGGCCAGACTGATCTACAGAGCTAGTTCTAGAACAGCCAGGGCTCTGCAGAGAAGCCTTGTCCTGCAAGGGGAAAAAAAAAAAAAGCCTGGAGATATTGGTGTTGGGAGGTCTGGGGTTGAAAAGAACTGATCAGAAACAGCACTTGTACCCGCAGGTGGATCCCACAGCTGATTTGACCTTTAACCTTCACTTATCCAAGAAAGAAAGAGAAGCCAGAGACAGTCTCACTCTACCTTTCCAGTTCAGTTCTGAAAAGTAAGGTTGGGCTGGGATCTCAGCATCTGGGTCCAGGAAGGTGGGATGATGACAGGTTATTGATTAACCTCAAGGTTTTATAGGGGCTGAAGTCCACCTCCAGAGACAAGTCTAGGGAGTGGTTCCCTGCCCACCTATACAGAATTCCCACAATGACAGAGGGACTTATTGCACTCTCTCAATAGAGCCATGGGCCCTAGCTGAGCCAGACCAGATGGGGAGGTGGCCCTTCCAGCAGCAGTGCCAAAACTGCAACTTGTATGGGTGTGGCAAGGACTGATTGACGAGGGCTCATGAACTGCCTCTTGCTCTGTGCCCTGTGCGTGGGTGGGTGTCAAGCATGACTGAAGAATCTTTGCCTTCCAGCTGCTAAGGACTTGTGTTTTGTTAGAGCAGTCCCTATTCCAGGGGCTAGTGGTACTTCAGCTCTGATTACTCCTGAACTTAGACCAAGAAAATGACACACATAGGATGGGTTACCTAGTGCCTCATTGCCACCTAGAAGGAACTATCCAGTCCTACCTATCACCCACCCTCATCGTCATCTTCACATCTTCCTCAGACAACAAGCTCTGCTGCGCCGTGGACCAGGCCAGACCACTAGCCACATCTTCTATGAACCAGATGCTTTTGATGACGTGGACGAAGAAGACCCAGATGATGACCTAGACATTTGACTGGACAAAGGGGAGAAGAAGACTGTGCCTCAGAACCATCCCATCGTTTCTGCCTATTGGGGCAGAAAGTGTAGTGAAAGCATAGTGTATAGCAAAAGAATAATAAGGAACTTCTTTCTTCCCATGCCCATTTCTAATAAAATAGATTCACATGAATATTAGCTGAAAAAGCTCCTTGGTAACTGCTTAAAGAAGAAAAGTATATATTGAGGGTAGGGGCTGGTGAGACAGCTCAGTAGGTAAAGGCAGTTGCCACAAGCCTGGTGACTTGAATTCAATCCCTGGAACCCACTGGAAAGTAGGAGAGGTCCCCTCCACAAAGCTATCTTTTGACCTATACATGCACACCTGTATAGCATTGGCCACACAGAATAGTGCTCAGTGAGAAATTTAAAGAGTCTGGGGGAGAATAGGTAAGAAACTAGAGTCAAGGCATTAGGCCTAACAAAATAGGGACTACAGGCCTAGGCACGGCTGGCACTTTGTTCATTTCTGTTGCTGTAGTGCCAACCCCTGTGTGAGGATCCAGGTGTGGAGAAAGAAGGCCTGGAAAGACACCTAATTTCCAAAACTTAGTTTTTATTACTATACAAAAAGCACACCCTCCCTATGTTTTGTTGTCCTCTCCCAGTCCCTCCCCTACCCCCCCCCACCCACCCAGGACTGTACATCGTGTTCAGGGATAATGACCAGGAGGCCTTTGTCCCACACCTTGCCCCCAGGCTGAGCACCCCAGCTCACACATATTCCTTGGCAGAATTCGACTTAGGGTAGGAGCGGGGTGCACGGTATACAGCTTTGTTTTCACTGCCCGGACAGGAGCAAGAGAGCAGGGCACCTCCCAGGAGAACCAGAGCAGACCCTGCCCAGCCTATAAAGATGGCAGGGCCAAACTCATACCTGTGAAGACAAAGGATTGGAGTCAAAACTCGGGCCTGAGGTCTTCCCTGTCCCAAGTCCACAGATTGTCACCCTAGAAGACTTACTTAATATTCATGGGTGTCAAGGGGTTATAAAAGTCTGTGACAATCTGATGACCAATCCAGGAACATGCTACCAAAGCAGCAAGGCCTAGGATGAAAAAGATTCTGATATTGAGTGTCCAAACCCTTAGCAATGCTTTTCTGGGTGGTAAAGAGCCCTTGAATCCCATTTTGGACCTGTGGCTCACCTGCCACGATGAAAACAATTCCACCAGTCATAGCTATACGAGCCTTCTTCACTTTGTCATCACCCCCACAGCTCGTACACTTCATGCCCATCGTGGCGACAAACATGGCCAGGAAGCCCAACACCAGGGACACCACCATTAGGGCTCGAGTGGCCTGCAGAGCCGCTGCAAAGGAGGAAGAAGAAAGTCAATGTTGGACAAGACATGTAGCCTTAGGATGGCGCCAGCCTGCCTAAGTGCTGCCGACCGCGCCCACTAACCCCTGGACCGCAGTGTGCCAGTTGGGTTCCACCGCCAGCCTGGGGCCCCCTCCGTCCAAGACAGGCCTTGGGCAGACAGTTCCCGCCCCCAACCCGCCACCATGGCCGTCCAGTTCCCCGCCCCGCCCCTCGCTTCAGAACCCGCCCGGGGCACCGAGGTTTCGATGAAACCGCGCCAGGTAGGGGGAAGGGAGAAAGGGGGCGAAAGGGAAGTGCAGGTGGCGGCCAAGGCCCTCGTTTGAGCCACACCGGCCTGCGCGTGTCCTAGCTCTGCCCCCGCTATCGAGGCCACCAGGTTTGTGGCTTCAGCTAATCGGCCGATAAGATTAGAGGCCACAAGTGCGGTCCCACGTCTAACGAGGGCACGATTCTGCGTCCCTACGCACCTCCGTCTGGATCCCCCTTTGTCACAGAGAAAGAAGCAGAAGACAGAGGCCACTAACTGCCCAGGGGCCGGGTGCCTCTTCCCAGGACTCCCCACCTTAAGCCGGGAAGAGGGGCGTGGGCCCACGTGCGACTGCCAGATCCCAGGCCCTCTTCCTCCGGGTCCCACCGACTGGGCTCAAGGCGTCCGCTTCCCCCTCCCTGGCAACCCCGGGCGCCAGGCCGTGCGGCCTCAGCCCTGCCCCACACCCAATCCCTCCACCCTGACTCTGTGCGCGTCCGCCCCGTCGGTCCCGCGGCCTTACCTGGCAAGGCGAGCACCGAGTCGTACGATTTGCAGCTCATCATGCCGGTACTCTGCGTGACGCACTCCATCCAGAGCCCCTTGTACATGGCCTGGGCTGTGATGATGTTGTCTCCCGCATACGAGCTCATCTGCCACTGAGGAATGGCAGTGCTCGCTATCAGGCCCACCCAGCCAAGCATGGCCATTGAAAAGCCCAACAGTTGCAGGCCCGAATTGGCCATTTCCGTCTCAGAAAAGATGGGACGCACCTGGAGGGCGACCCTACAGTAAAAACAAAATCTGGGAAACAACACAAGAAATTTTGAATGGAGATTGTCACCCAGAATTGGAAAAAAGAAAAAAAAAAGTTTTTTTTTTTTTTTTTTTGTTTTTTGGCGGGGGGGTAGAGGGGAGGGCGGTTCTGGCCGGTTAACTGCAAATCTTGTTAACCGAGGTAAAAACAAATCGTCCCCTCCGGTGAAGCGACACTCACAGCAAAGGGAACCGGCTTCGCCCGAAGGACTGGTTCCAGACAAAAGGGGCCCCCGAAGGCCAGGCGGTTCCCTCCGGCGTGCGCAGAGACTACCCAAAGAAGTGGAGGGGCCGCTAGGGCGTGGTCCCCAAAAAGTATGCGGGCCCCCGGGCCCCAGGCTGCGGTGCACGGCAGAGAGCGGAGCGGTGAGTCGGCAGGTGCGGGCGAACAGGTGCGGCGCACCTGAGTATATGTAGGGCGTCGGGGACGCGCTCCCGCAGGCAACGGGAGCGCGGGAGCTGGGGCGGGACCAGAGGGGCAGTCGAGGGTGACCTGACGTCACCGAAGGGACACTCACCTGAACCGGAAGTCTTGGCCCCCACCCCCTCCTTGTCCAGGTGAAGAGGAAGAAACCTGAGCGCAATGTCACGCCCCTTCATTTGCCTGGCTCTAACTGCTGATGGGAAGTAGGCGAAGGCTTGGCCAAGTCCCTGGAGTCTCCCCTGCAGGCTCCAGACTGCCCCTTCCTTTCTCTTCCATACCAGTGCGCCTGGGTCACTGCGGAGCCAGTTCTCATAGACGCCCCTGGAAGGGCTCCTTGCCACCCTTGCCCTGAGGGTTTCGGCGCGTACTCTTTGTCTAGTCCTATGTTTGCCTCTACCTACTCTCGCCTTCTTTTTCTTCAATCTCCTACCGTGGCCAATCCCGTCTTCAGGAGCCCTAACTCATTATGGTAAAATCACCCGTGCTACACCCTTCTAGGAATTTCGGCTCCAGGAACTTGGTCTAGCAACCCTCCGCTTCACTGCTCAATGAGCCCTCCACGTAGGCCCTCTATGAGGCATGGCTCTTCCACAGCCCCACAAGCCGGCTCCCTGAAGCCAGCGGTGGATAACAGCACTCACTACCTGAGCCCGTCAGTGCCTTCTCCAACTTCAAGGCTCCTTCTTCCTAAAGGAAGAAAACACGGGAAGCTTTTCTGCCGATGGAGAGGAGTAGAGTAAACCTAGGTCAGAGTCGCTGCCACACCCAACATTCCCCTCCCCAGGTGTCATTTCAAGCCTACCCTCCACTCTCACCTTCCCCAGCCACATACTTGCCCTCATTCTGAGCTTCCGGGGTCCTATTTGTGTGCCCTTTCCCGCCACCTCCCACCAACTCTAGCATCTGACTCCCCAAGGTGGTCCTTGACACACCCCTAAAAGAATCCTATCTCAACCTTACAGTCCTTCCTACTTCCCAAACTTTGACCCCATCCTTCTGCCCAATGTGTCTTCTAAGTTTCTCATTCCTGATTTTGCATTTTTTTGCTTCCTTTCAGTCTATGCTTGCACCCCCAGACACAATGTTTCTGTCACTGCTTTGCCTAACTCCTTTTTAGTTCTTTCTCCCAGCCTTTCTCTCCTAGGACCCCTTACCCCTCTCAGACCATCACACATCTTTCTTACTCTTGCTATCTATTTGGGGAGGAGAGCAGGTTCCCAAGACATGGTTTCTCAGTGAAGTCCTAACTCTCTGGAACTCGCTCTGTAGGGCTGGCCTCAAACTCACAGATATCCACCTGCCTCTGCCTCCCTTCCCCACCTGCTCTACCCTTAATTTCCCTGTTAATCCTTCCTTCATTTATCCAATAAAGGGCCTTCTTGTTCAGCTAATGAACCTCACATAAGTGTGCCTGACTACTGATACATCTGCCTTGTCCCTCAGCTAAGTTGGCTTTTGTATAAAATGCAGACCTTTGTGGACTCTTTTATTTGTGTCTACTTTTAACCTTTTAATTTTTGTTTTGTGGGGTGGTTTGGTTGGTTGGTTAACTTTGAGACAGGATCTCATTATTTGGACTAGGCTAGCCTGAACCTTGCAAGAAAGCCGCCAGGCTCTGTCTCTGGAATGTTGAGACTACAGATGTGAACTCCCATGCACAGCTGTGATTTTTTTTTTTTAAGTTGTTTTTCAGATTGGATGTGGTTGGTGCATGCTAAAGGACAGTTAGTTTGAAGCCAGCCTTCCGGGAGGAGAGTGACTTCCAGCTCTGAAAGTCCACGTTTCTCATTATCATTATCACAGCCACATGCCTAGCTACTATCTACTACCTGGAGACTACAATTGCACCCAAACCAATCTCCCTGCGTCTGCCCTTTCCAAAATTCACTCTGCAGAGTACTCTTTCTATAAACTTAAATCTTGCCGTTCTTTTTAGAAGGGCACTCAGTGGGGAGCTTGGGAGATAGCTCAGCAATTAAGAGAGTTTACTGTTCTTGCAGAGGACCAGAGTGCAGTCTCCAACAGCCACAAGATGACACTCGGTCCTGTTACTCCAGTTCTAGGTGATCCATTGCCGCTGCCATCTCCTCCTCTTCTTCTTTTTGTTCATTCATTTGTTTCTCTGCATAGCCTTGGCTGTCCTGGAACTTTCTCTGTAGACCAGGCTGGCCTCAAACTCACAGATCCACCTGCCCCTGCCTCCCGAGTGCTGGGACTAAAGGCATGCGCCACCACTCCTGGCATCATCATCGTCATAATTTTTTTCTTTAACTTTTTTGGTTTTTTGAGACAGAGTCTCTCTTAATAGACCTGGTTGTCCTGAAACTAGCTACGTAAACCAGGCTGAACTTGAACACACAGAAATCCTCTCGCTTCTGCCAGCTAAGTATTGGGATTAAAGGAGCTAGTTTGCAGGGCAGTGGTGGCTCATACTTTTAGTCCTCAGCACTCAGGAGGCAGAGTCAAATGAATCTCTGAATTCTAAGTTCCAGGCCAGCCTGGTCTACAGAGTGAGTTCTAGGACAACCAGGGCTACACAGAAAAACTCTGTCTCAAAGACAGACCCATGACACATGACGACCCAGTTCCAATGCTTCTTCTGACCTCTCCAGCTCCCACATATACACATAAAAATAGCTAAATAAATATTAAAAATAAAATAAAACCATTCAGTGGCAGTTTTTCTTCTTCTCTGTTGTTGTGGGTTGAATCCAAGAGCCTCCCGTAAGTGTGCCTGTCACTGAGCTACGCCCAAGCCCAAGTGGCACTCTCGACTACTGACATATCTGCCTTGTCCCTCAGCTATGTTGGCTTTCTCTCTGTCCCCAAAACATTATGCATGTTCTACCTACTAAAGCAGCTTTCTGTTCCCTACGCTTGAGTGCTCCAATCCATTTACCCCACCCACCTTCCTCTACCAACTAACACATTCATCCTTCAGCATTTGGCTCCACTCTCTTCTAGGAAGCCTGGCCTGCCTACCCCACCCACACTGAGTCAAGTCGTCTGCTCAGGGCTCTCATGGTTACCTGTACTTCCTTGTCAAGGCTCTTATCATAATCTGAAACTATGTTTTGTGTGCTTAGGGATTGAGTATCAATTTCCCTACTGTGCTGTAAAGTATAGATGTGTCTAGATTTCTATTACCAGTGCATGGATTCCGAGAAAAATTTCACCCACAGCCCACATGTGTTTTCTAGGTGCCTATAAATGTGTTGGGCACTGTAGTTAAGCCGGGGGATGCACTGGTGGACAAGACAGATAAGGACAACATGCTCATCTGGCTTATTTTCTAGAAGGGCAATAAAGACATAAAATGCTGCTTGTTTTGAAGGCAATGAAACAAGGGAAGGTATGAGGTTGAGTCCAATCTTGAGTGAGATCAGGGAGATGTTCTGAGCAAGCGACTGTTAATAATGAGTCAGTTATGAGGGAACGACAGTATAGGCAGAAAGGAGCAAAGGCCTCATGTCCATTGCTCTCTGGAGCTTAGTCATTGATTTGAAACAGACTGTGTTGTTTTGTTCTATTTTGGTTGCCTTTTTTTGTTTTGTTTTGTGTTTGTTTGACACAAGATATTGTTTCATGGGCCAGGGCAGCCTGGACTTCATGAACCTCCTGTTTCCAAGTGTTGGAATTACAGGCATGAACCACTATGCCTGGCTTTCTTGGTGTTTTTGAGACAGGATCTTACTAAGTATGCCTGGCTGGCCAGGAATTCACAATAACTTACAATAACACTCTTACCTCTTCCCTTTCTGGTGCTGGGATTAGAGGTTCAAGCCACCAAGCCAGGAGAGATTTCCTTACCTTGGCAATGTCAACACTTGGAGCTAGAAAGTCTTTGCTACTGTGGGTAGTACAGTATGTGTAACAGCATCCTGCGATCTGCTGGTGTTAGTAGAGATGAGATGTCACCTCTGCCGCACCTCAGCATGACACTAAGCTGGGAATGGTGGCTCACACCTCTATTGTTTAATCTTGGGAGGTAGAGGTACCAACTGTGGTACATTCCAGCTATCCATCCATTTGAGTACTTGCAGTCAGTGGTTTATTTCAGATATGCTAGAGGGAGAGGAAGAAACACAGGGATGCTTCACTGATGACATTAAGCCTCAGAGTTTGTTAGCTGGATAGAAAAGGTGAGTGGGATAGATGGATTAGAATATCCATGGGAACAGAAAGGTGCTTTAGTAGTGCAGAGTAGGCATAGCAGGAGGAAGCCAAAAAAAAACAGAACAAACTGAAAACCTTGAAAAAACAGTAGAAGGGCTAGGGATATAGGGGTACTGACAATGCGGATCTCTGTGAGTTCAAGGCCAGCCTGGTCTACAGAGTGAGTTCCAGGACAGCCAAGGCTACACAGAGAAACCCTGTCTCGAAAAACCAAAACAAAGAACCACTGCTCTAGTCTTACCAGTGAGCATCACTGTGGATTTTTAGTAAACTGTTGAATGCAAGAACCCAAGAATTCAAATGGATGGATAGGTGGAATGTATCTACTGCCTAGTTGGAGGTTATGTCAAAAAGCAGGAGAGGACCAGAGGAATGATATTTGCACTCTCCCAGAGGATCCAGGTTTGAATCCCAGCACTCACACAGTGGCTCACAGGTATCAATCGCTCTAGTTCCAGGGGATCTGAAGCCTTCTTTTGGCCTCTGAGGTCATGCATGCACAGGCTGCATAGACATACCTGCAGGCAAAACATCCATATATACTAAAACACAAATAAATAAAATAAGAAACTAGTGCGGTGTTGCAGGCTTTTGAGCTATCCCTGCACTCAGGAAGGTGTACCTCTGTAATTTCAAGGCCAGTCTGGGCTACAGATCCAATTCTAGGTCAGCCAAGGCTACATATTAGGACTTTGTCCTAAAAAAAAAGAAAGAACTCTTGCTGGGTGGTGGTGGTTCACCCCTTTAATTCCAACATTCAGGAGGCAGAGGCAGGCTGATCTTTACAAATTCAAAGCCAACCTGGTCTACACAGTGAGTTCCAGGACAACCAGAGTTACATA